AGATATGGATTTTTGGAATTGATTTACTGAATAATAAATCGGTTAACGCAGAGGTTGTCGAAAAAATATCAAAGAGACATTGGGGGTGTTGTGATGCAAAGAATTTGCAGAGACAATTTCTATGCAACAATCTGATTAAAGATTCAATATTTACAATGAACACACATTGATGTATGTGCAACCAGCGATTGCTTGGGTGTATTTATGTCTGTATATGGAACACTCTTTATGATATTAAATTACTTGTATCATAAGCTTCTCTTACGTATATTAGATCATTATTTTTTAAAAACATCTATTTCGTAAATTGGATTAACGAAGATTCGTTTCTTTGTTAGAGTTATAACATTCTTTACCATGAAGAAAGGTACGATGCGATGGAGTGATGATGATAATGATCATTTATACAATGAATCATCATTATCCAATTCTAACGCGGATACTATGGATACTGTGAGAAAGAAAAATGACAAGTAGAAAATCGAGAGAGCTTTTGACTAAAAATCTTTGCAACAACACGGTTACAAAGCATATGGTTTTCCAGATGTCCCTTTGCATGAGGAGGTCATGAGATAAGCAACGATCATGTGGAAGTGAAAGGGAGTTATCGAGAACGAGAAGTTACAAGAGTTTCCGTTGTAGATGGTGAGAATCATGAGTTGGTTGTGAATGCATAAGTGAGTGATATGAAGATTCATTCTTTTTAACATAGAGGAAAATAAGAGAGCTTTGGGTCAAGCGAGTAGAGAGAAGAACTACACTGAAGAAGAGAAGAGGCAGTTAAGAGACAGTGTTGTTTACTTTTGATTCTTATAAATCTTAATTTTGAGGTAAAATCTTTGTATTTGGTGACTATGTAATATGAATACTTTATTGAGAAATTCCCTCAAATGCACTTAATCTAAGTTTTTGTTCCACATATACACTAACACTCTAAAAAATTCCATCCATAATATTTTGTACCATATTAATCTTAGTTAGATAAAACATTAGTTAATAAAAAGAGAAGAAACATAATGTACAAACAAATGTATCAATGACCAAGACTGATCTGAAATTCGACTTATTTGTTTTGTTTAGGATCAGTCTTCTCATTTGATTGTGATTTGTGATTGTGAATCTCTTAGATTTTTTGGGTTTTTTATGGGAAAGTGATTTCATGATTTAAAGCTCAAAATCATATAATGATAGATAGATCTGATATAATTGGGTGAAAAACTCAAGAAACCTGAGCTAAAACAGCAACAATGGTAAAAAAAAAAAAAAATCGGCGGGAATTAGGGTTTGGACGTCGCAGAGTTGAGGAAGGAGATGCGCATAAATTTGGGAAGATATTCTAAAGTTTTAGGAAGACTTTCTTAAAATGTATAAATTAAGGAAGTCATTACATGTATTTAGGAATGTATTCATAAATCGTATAATTGATTATTATTTTGGTTAATTTATACAATTCAAATTCAAGAAACTCTTCCATAATTCAGGAAGGCTTTCCACAATTCAGAAAATTTTAAAAATTTAGGAAAGCTTTCCTAAACTATATGAAACGATGTTAAAGTCTAGTATTTGGAAGACCTTCCTAAAAAAATCATGAAATATTAACAAAAAAAAAAACTAGGAAACCTTTCCTAAAGGGTAAAATTGGAAAACTCAAATGAAAAATGTTAAGAGTGGAAAATTTTAGCTTCTCTATTATATTTATCTTGAAAACTTATTTTCAGTGTAATTGTGGATATTGCCCTACTTTATTTTTGATTCTTAAAATCTCAACTTTGAGATAAATTTTTTGTATTTGGTGAATATTTAATATGAATACGAAAAACAAGAGTATTACTTTACTAATGACTATAAGCATATGGAAACCTATCATTTACTTAGCTTTTTTATTCTGGATATTTCTGGAAAAAAACAGTCTTAAGGTATTTTTTGGTATCCGATGATAACTTGATATGCAAATAAGAAACATAAGGCTTAATTTCACTAATAACCATAATTTTACATGAAAAATGAACATTTTGCAACTTCATTACAAAGCGGATCTCTAATTATGTGATTTTTATATATACCAAATTAACAATCATCAGTAGATTTTTTAATAGTCTAATTTCATATATATCGAAGTAATTCATAGTTAAAAAAGATTAGACTTTATTTTTTTCAAATTTTATATGCCTAGTTAAAAATATTTTACCTCAATCAATTAAAAATAAAACAAAACTAGATAAAAGGGTATATTTCAGTTTAGAAAAAAAAAATAACATAAAACAGTAATCATAGAAGAAAAAAATACAATTTGGAAAAGAAAACAAAAATAAATAAAAGGAGATATTTCAATTTGAAAAAGAAAAAAGCAAAACATTAATCTTAAAAGAAAAATGAAAATAAAATCCACACCTATATAAACACATAAAATCTTTTATAATTTGTTTACCAAACAAAATAATAATTTTCGAGCTTCATTCTATATGTATAATTTTTCTTCTTCTATTGTATTATTATTATTAAAACACTTTTTACGGTATTCTAACTTTTTATCAATTATGATTCGTTTGGTATTCTAAATTATTATTATCAAAAGTGTTTCCAGTATTCAATAATTAGACAAATTCCAAAATAACTACATGCAAAATTTGCAAAACAGGATTACATAAAAATGAAATCTTAGATGCTAATGATGAGTTCAATGAGAAGGAAGATCAACAAAATCATGTAAAAAACTCTTGACACGAGTCTTGAGAAGCATAACTTATCTAGAAAGCAAAGAAATCATATAGAAAAGATGCATGTAGAGAGAAAGAGAAACTTTGTTTGCTTAGAGAGAGTTAACATAATCGAAGAATTCGAATTGCATATACAAGTTTTTAATGCAGAGGAACAAAAACAAAAAACAGTTGATCAAATGCTGAACTATAAGTGAAGTAGGGTTAATATTACTAAGGACCTGCAACAGATTCTGTATTTTGAATATTTTAACTAAAATAAAATAGAAATTAAAATAAACAACTGTTAGATTTTGATTTTATGTTTTTAATATTTTTTTTTTATCAATGATCTGATTTTAGCTGGTATAAATTTCTTTTTTTCTTTAGTTAATAACATTGTTTTTGTTATTATACAATTCATGCATATATGCATTACGTTATCTACATGTAATATATACATTTATAATACTACGTTATGTTAATGGAAAACGTACAATTATGCATTAGTTTATTTTTTCTTCTTTCTTTACTTTATTATATTATGCATTACATTTACATATTTTCTTATGTTATTATGGTATTACATTATTTTAATCAATAATGTATTACATTTACATAAGACTTTTTTTTTGGAGAACGGGCCTTCAATTTTACATAAGATTTACGGCGGTACATATGCATTATCTTATTATAATCAGTCATGCATACGTTACATGTATAATTTTCTTTTACGTGTTGTTACAAGAAATGTTTATATTGTTGTACGTACGGGTTTTTTCTTCTACATGTATAATTTTCTTTTACGTATTGTACAAGTAACCAAATTCAATCTAACTTAGGTTTCTTCTTACCTTTTTCATTTGTGAAATTAGGGGTAATTACTATTTTAGGGATATTATGGTCAGTGAATGGAAGATAATTTTCTTTTTTTACTGTTTGTTTTATTATGTGATAATTTTAATAGTAGAACAAACTAACTAATTACCCATAGATCTTGCATAAAATATATAATGTCACATGTTTATTTGATTTTCTTTGAAAATTGTTTTTCGTCTTTCTAATTACCAATTCTCATCACATACTCTTAAATTCCCACTTTTAATCTTGAAATACTAAAAGCTAATACATATCATTATTTTTTTTTTTCTTCTAACAACATATTATAATTTAATAATTTATGTTTGCTACTTTTTATATTGAATGTTAATGTTAATTTTTATTATTTTCCGTCTTTCTAATTATAAATGCTCGTCACACACTCGTAAATTTTCGTCTTGAGCTAAAGATAATGTATATCATTATTTACTGTTTTTAATATTGTTTTTATATTGTATTTTCTTTATTTTTTTATTTTCTGACAATACATTATAATTTATTTTTGCTATTTTTTATATTGAATATTAATATTAATTTTTATTATTTTCCGTCTTTCTAATTACTAATTTCTGTTACATATTGGTAAATTTCTGCCATAAATTTTAAAATACTCAGAGCTAATTTATATTGTTATTTCTTTTATAGTATTTTGTTGATCTGTTATTTTCTGACATCATTTTATAATTATCTTTTTATATTTGTTATTTTTATATTGAATGTTAATATTTTTTTATTTTATTTTAGTATATCTTTCTAATTACCAATTTCAGTCACGCACTCGTAAATTTCCATCTTGAATTATGAAATACTCAGAGCTAATGTATATCATTATTTTTTAATTTTTTAATTTTGTATTTTGTTGATTTTTATTTTCTGACAACACATTATAATTATCTTTTTATGTTTTTTATTTTTTATATTGAATGTTAATATTTTTTTAATTGATTTCCATTTTTCTAATTATCAATTCTCCTTTCTTTTCCTTTTTTTTTCCAGGTCAGGATGAAAATCTTGAGTAGCTGCTCAAGTCTGTTTTGCTTCTTGGTGTTATTTCGGGAACCGGGTTTTATTTTATTTTATTCAAAATGACAGTATTTTTCTAATTATTAGTTCGTGGGTTTTTATGAGATTTTAGTATGAGGATTTTATGACTTTGATGAGATTTTTATAAGGAGTTATTTTAATAAGAATGGTTTCTGAAAATGATGGTTTAAAAGCATGTTTAAGAAATAAAAGGTGAATCCGGATTTGAAATAAGATAACGGGGATCTTGCAATATTTAAAGTTAATGTATAAAATTATTTTTGGTTTCATTTTATTTTATTTTTTGATAACATATTATAATTATCTTTTTATTTTTTCTATTTTTATATTGAATGTTAATATTATTTTGTGTTTTCAAAAAAAATAAATGAAAAATAATTAATGATGTAATTGCTGAGGTGGCAGCACCAGAAGAGAGAAAAGTTTACTTTATATATATATAATTTTTATATTGAATGTTAATGTTAATATTTATTGTTTTCCGTCTTTCTAATTACTAATTCCTATCAGACACTCGCAAATTTCTATCTTGAATCTTGAAATATTCAAAGCTTATATATATATAATTATTTTTTGGTTTTATTTTATTTTATTTTTTGACAACATATTATAATTATCTTTTTATTTTTTCTATTTTTATATTGAATGTTAATATTATTTTGTGTTTTCAATAAATGTAAATGAAAAACAAAAAATGTAGCATATATATAGATAATTTTTAGCAACTAAATTTAAACCTAATATGGCTGCGCAGCTTCCGTGGGAGTTGGAGGAAGAGATACTCTCTCGTCTTCCACCTAAATCTCTTTATCGTTTCAGAACCGTTTGCAAACGATGGAACGGTGTTTGCGAAGACAAGACATTCCAAAACAACCATTTGTCTCGCTCCGGTCCCCAGTTCATCTTCCTGACCAGATCCAAAGGTTATTCGATAGACATAATCAATCCCAACAGCATCGATCCAAAGATAGAGTTGCGTGAGCTACACTCCTCTCCTATTACTCCCCTAGATTACACAACCATCACTACTTGCGATGAGCTCTTGTTTTATGACGAACGGTATGGGAAGAGCAGGACAGCGCTCTGGAATCCCTGGCTAAGACAGGTTAAAATGATACCTAGTAAAGAAGAGTTCAGAGTTTTCGGCTTAGGGTACGATAACAGTAGACCAGAAAAGGTTTACAAGATCTTGGGCTATTCTTATTGTCGCCACAACGAGGGAACTGCGATCTACGATTGTGCCTCTCAGGCGTTGAAATTTATTGATACACCTGAGAAGAACTGGCTCCTGAGTCCAACAGCTGAACGATCAAAAGTGTCCTTGAATGGAAATCTCTATTGGATTACTCTTAATGACGAGACTCGTGAGCACATCATCCGAAGCTTTGATTTCTCTACCGAGAGTATCTTAACCTTTTGTCTCCTTCCATGTCAGATTAACTATGTTCTTGATGAACTTCTCGTCGCAGTTTTTAAGAGAGATGGGTTTTTGTTGCTAAAGCAAAGCTATTCAACAAAGAAGATTGAGATTTGGGTAACAAAGAATAAGATTGATAAAGAGGAAGTGGTGTGGATAAAACTCATGACCTTGACAAGTAGTAACTTGCCAATCCTATTTAACAATTTGTGTAGTTACTTCATCTATGAGAAGACCCTCTTCATGTGTTGTGGCTACAATAATGCTTGCATCTACATCATGAGGGGAGATACGTGCAAGAAGTTTCAAATACAATATGGGATTGGGATTTTTGTGTGTCGTCACTGTGTTTCCACTCCCAGTTTGATCTCGGTTCCTTTGTTTAGTGGTTAGATTGAGTGTATCACAAGTCTAGTTTTATCACTCTTTCTTTGGCTTTTTCCTGCCTTTTTGTTTCATTAGGATTTAGGAATCTATATATTGAAATTTCAATTATTTCAAATATATGTTTCATGTTCTTAAAATATGAAACCTTAGATAATATATATAAAGCACAATTCTCAATTCTTAATAAAAAATTCACTGTTGGGGAGAAGTCAGAGAGACTGAAATGCAATTATCTCTCAACTTTAGTGTATCCGAAGACACAGCCATAAAGCCTTCCTCCAAGATACACAGCTACTTCAAGATGCTTCACCTATATATAACAAATAAATAATGGGACATAAGAAATCAAAATCAAGCAAGAAACACAAAGTACCTCTTCGTATTAATTACAAGAAAGAAAAAAACTACGTAGTACCATAGAAAATCACACTTGAACTGGGCATAGAGGTTTGCTCCACGACCCTTGATGTGAACGGCCAAGAAACTCAGTTAACAAAGCCAAAGACTAGTTGAATTCTTGTTTAAGTCACTTTCACAAACTTTATAAAATGGACCTTACCATGCCTTCTTTGATGACTAAGTCTGCATCAGATGAAAGGTCAGCAAGCTCCTTCTATACTCTTGAGATATCGATAACCTGAAAACAAATTTTCAAAAGGGAGAAGAAAAACAAAACTTAAGAATCTAATGAACAAAACCCATTTGTCTCCTGGGAGCTTCTAATGTCTTACCGCTAAGTCGTTTAATGAATATACATCATGACCTGATGTCAAAGTGTGTCTTTATGAGGTGTTTGCTCATTTGGTTGTCAAATTTTTTTATAAGATAAGTTTAGTTTGAGAGTCAACTATTTAATAAGGCAAACCAAGACAACTTTAAAGAAGGAATCACCATCCTCTAAGATACAATAAAAAACTCTTTTTACATTTTTTTAATTACTAATAACTCAAAAGACTTTATGTCTGTACAAATTAATAAAGTTGAATGTTCATATATATATATAGATTGTTGTCCGGTGAACTATTGCATGGTAGAGAAAATGGCATATGTCATAGGTCCTGGTTCATGGAATTTTTTTTTTTTAAAAAGTAATAATCAATTGTCCCAAGGATGTTATAAGCGAAATGAAAAATTTATACAAGTATAATAGTAATATACAATATTCAACCTCATCCGCTGAATATTGGTGTAACTCCTCGACAATACATTCATCAACTATATTCATAGTTTCTTCACAGAAATAGTCAATATAATTATTGAAAACCCGAAAAGCTTGATCCTCGGTGCGGATGGCACTAATCTGCTCTTGATTGATTAATTTGATAATGTCAAAATAATTATTTTCAAGCTTTTGAGTAGGCATGGGCATTTTACCCGGATCCAAAAATCCGATCCGAATCCGAACCGAAAAAACTCGAACCGAGATGATTCGGTTATTGAAAATCATCCGATCGGGAGTGATTGGTTTAGCATTTCCAGTACCGGATATTATCCAATCCGATCCGATATCCGAACGCTGTACCAGATCCACTTCACTTTACGTTATCCCCGATGATTCTCCTTCTGATGTAGTTTCCCTCAATCCCGATTACGAAGCCACAAAATCAAAAAGTAACCATATTCTCAATCCCGATTCTCAAGCTGATTTTAGAAAGTATTCATTGATATATCATGGTTTTTATGGTTTTTAACCATGATATAAGTCCTTTTTATTGAGTCTTTTTGGTCTTTTTAGAGTCCTAGAAGAGTCTTTGCAGGTTATAGCATGTCTGGAGCATAATTGGAGATATTGGAACCTTTTGGAGCATTCTGAGTTGAAGCCACGAAGTACCAAGATCGAAGCAGAAAGTATTCACTAATGGTGACGATCGTCACCCCATTGGTGACGCTCGTCACCCAGATAGGAAGGAACGTGGCTATTTGTTAAAAGTATCAAGAAAAATTGCAGAACTTACCCAGAAGTTTCCTTTATTTATATGAAGACTCCAGATCGTGTTTAGCCCCTATTTATTAGGTTTTTCAGCCACTGTTGGCAAGAATCTGAGTTTTTGAGAATTGAGAGAGCTAGAGAGAGATTTTATTCAGAGCTTTTTGGGGAGACAAATCCTGTACTCTTTAGAGAAGATTTCGAACCCCCTTTGTTTTCTACTCTTTCTCTTAATGCAATTTTATTCAGTTATGTTTTGTGATCTCATAATCATGTCTGAGTAATCTGCTAGTTAAGTTAGGGTTTTTCAAAGGTTGATGAAAAGAGTGTAGAATCGCTATTTGTTAGGATTATCTCATGGTTTTTCATCTCTGCTTGCTTTAAAATCGAATTTCTGAGACACATCATGTAGGAATCCGAAAATCATAGGTTGTTAAATATATGTGAGAGCATTATTCATAACCTGAACTAGTATTTGATGAGCAAAACAACTTAGTACAAAGAGATTTGGCTTAGGAGTTTTGTAAACAATTGAATCTGATCATTCCTGCATACTTAGGTTGTTAGGGTTTGCAAAGAGATTTGAAACTCTGTGATCTAGGTATAGATAACTTCTGCAATGAGAATTGATTAGTTATGCATTAGAGATTCATGTTTAAAAACGGTTCTTAATCATTCCTGATTCCCTGCATTCTGCATTCTTGGATTCATACCTGCGAATTACCCTAGCTTAGCGCTTTTAGTCTTCCTGAACTTAGAACATATCATACCATCGTTTGCTTATTTCTAATTATTCATTCGCATTACATACATCATATTTCGCTTAGCTTAGTCCAAATCTATAATTGATAGTGTAGTTAGCATTACTCTCTTGGGATTTCGATACCCCTTATACTACATCTGCTTTGCTGTGCACTTGCAGTAGTTTTTATTTGGGTAAAACCTGAACCCTATCAAGTTTTTGGCGTCGTTGCCGGGGAGTAATAGCTGCCTATCGATTTTTAGTATTAGGATTTTGTCTAAGTTTTTATTTCTTTACTGATTTTCAGCTACTTTTCTTTGTTCCTGTTTCAGGTGTATGCCTAATCGCAGAACCAGAAGCAACAAAGAGAAGGAGCTTGTGACTTTGAGCATCGATGAGCTTGCTAGGTTGGAGAGAACTAACAGGAAAGCTAAGAAGCAATCTGCAATGGTCGCTCCACTGATCTTGGTTGAAGATGCAGAAGGTCACTTGGTTGACAGGGAAGGAAATAGGAGGAACGAAGAAGGGCAGAGAATTGATCAAGAGGGGAATGTCATTGTTGAACAGCAGGTTCAGCAAGTGGCTGAGAACGTGGGAGTCCCTGCTGCTGTCAATAACGCTGCTGGGCGTTTTGTTCAGAGGACTCTAGGTGATTACAACAGACCTGATCAGTTCTATGCCAACAGAGCTGCAATCCGACCTCCTGCCTTCCAGAGGAACGATTTTGAGGTTAAACCTGTCTACTATCAGCTGGTTGGCCAGCATCCATTCCATGGTTTACCTCATGAGCATCCTATGGATCACATAGAGAGGTTTGAGGACCTAGCTTCCAGTGTCAAAGCTAATGGGGTTAGCAATGACTTTCTGTTCTGCAAGCTTTTTCCCTATTCTCTTGGAGGAGAAGCTGCATATTGGCTGAAGCAACTGGAACCTGCTTCACTAACTACTTGGGAGGACACCAAGAATGCTTTTCTGAACAATTTCTATGATGATGCCAGATCAGAAGACATGAGAACGAAAATTGCATCATTTACACAAGGCCCTACTGAAGCTTTCAAGGCTTCTTGGATCAGGTTCAAGTCTTATCAGAGGGACTGTCCTCATCACGGTTTCAGTCAGGTGCAATTGCTTGGGATCTTTTTCAGAGGCATTGACTGGAAATATCAGATGGCGCTGGATGCTTCAAGCAGTGGAAACTTCAATACCAACAGACCAGAGGAGGCGGTGAGACTGATTGAGAACTTGGTCTGCATCAACAGCACTAAAAATGCAGACTTTCAGAGAATGAAACAAGCTGGTGCAGCTGATGGAAATCAGATTGCTGAAGTTAAGGCTAAGTTGGATGATATGCACAGCCTTTTGGTAGGGAAGAAGTCAGTTCACTTTGCTGCAGAAGTAGAGACTTTCGAAGCTCCAGAGGAAGTTGAGCAGGAGGATGTAAATTTCATCAACTCTGGCGGATTTCAGGGACAAAGGTATGGGAATCAGCAGTGGAACAGAGGATACAGCAACAACAATCAGAAAAACGCCCCTATAGGAGGACAGAACACGCCTGGTTTCACTCTTAGACCCCCTTTTCAGAAGACAGAGTATCAGAAGCCATTCCAGAGCAATGGAAACTACAGACACTATGGTTCTACTTCCTATCAACCAGCACCTCCACAAGAGAACAAAATGGAAGCAATGTTAGAACAGATTCTGGAAGGACAACAGAAGCTTACTGTGAACTTCAATGGCAAGATAGATTCGCTCTATCAGGACCTGAATGGGAAAATTGAGAGTCTGAACTCTCATATGAAGAAGCTTGATGTTCAAGTAGCTCAAACTGCAGGAGCTGTTCAGAGGCAAGAAGGGTTTCTTCCAGGAAGAACTGATGCTAATCCCAAACACCACGTGAATGCCATCACATTGAGGAGTGGAAGGAACCTGCAACCAGTGTTGCAGAAGGATATAACCTCAAGAAATTTCGTGGGTGTAGAAGAGTATGAAGATGAAGAAAATTTTGCTGCAGAACCATTGGTGACGATCGTCACCAATAATGGGTGTCGCTCGTCACCCAATGAGGACAACCCCGAGCCTGATTCTTCACTTATTGGTGACGACCGTCACCAAGGGGGTGACGCTCGTCACCCAAATCCAGTACTCGACCCCGACTCGTCCAAAGTGAGTGACGTTCGTCACCAAGCCAGTGACGCTCGTCACCAGACACCACATATTGCAGTTTCGCCTAAGACTTCAGATAATGCTAAGGAGACCGTGTATAAACCCAATATACCCTATCCTAAGCATCCTAAGAAGTCTAAGCAGGAGCTTGAGGATGCCAGATGCAAGGCTATC